ATCTATTCCTACTTATAATACCTGAAAGTATGATTGCGACCGAGGTATTTTAGTTGGGTCAGAAGAGTGTTTGGTTCCATCATTGTGTCCATTAATCTTGTTTTCAGATTCTTTGCTAACAGCTTGAGTTTCAACCTTAGATCCCTGTGCTGATGGAGCCTCGAGGGGAAATGCATCCTGCAGCCGACGTCGGTGCTTCTGATCCCGGTCCAAATGATCTTTATTCAAACCAGTGTCAGTAGGTGGTCTTTCAGTTGCTGGCTTACCATCCCTCCTAGATCTCTTAGGACTAGCAGGATTGCAAGAGGGAATGGATCATATTGTTGGACATTTATTCAATCGCTACTCAGGGCCAAATACTTGAACTACATTCTATGTAACAAATAATTCATTTGCATACCAGAGAATGTATCAAGAGCATAAAACAAGGTGCTAGAGAAAAGAGAGGTTCAAAACTATGCAACAGTCAGTACCAGTTCATGCATAGCATTTTTGTTTCTTTTCCTTACCATGACAGTCCTATGTGCCTATTGCGACGAAAGGTCCTTTTTCTTTTTTCTTTTTGGCAAGGAAAGAACAAAAGAAATGAAAATCAGGGTTGGTAAACGGTAGAAATTATAATAAATCTAAGGTATCAAAACAAATGTATTCTATTCAGGCAATTGCTAAAACACATGTCGTGGGGTTAGTAGTACAGACAGGTGCCATCTACGGACCCATAGCCCAAGACTAATGAATGGCATTGATAAAGAGATAATTGCAAATATAAATGTAAAGAATCAGCTTAGGCCAATGTTATTAAGCATACCAGCGTGGAGAATCAACTTAAAACAACATTCAGAGTTAAGAAATGGGCTGCTGGAATCACTCAAACATGCTGGCGACCAGTATAGACCTAGGATTCTCCAACAATGAAAATTTGGGAATAAATAAAACACAATAATCCACTGATTTAATAGTTGATTCTTGCGCTTATAAGCTCAAGTTTCTAATTATCGATGTACAAAATTACAAATCAAGTGGAACAACAGGCCAGGAGATTTTTACACTGACTTGATCCCGTACTTCCGTCAATTTTATCCTAAACAAAGAAACCAAAATTTCTGAAAAACTCAGCTTTATTCATATATTTCAGGAGAGAAAAAATCAGAACCCCCATGTCTACAAATAACAGAAACTTTGAAGTTCACACATTTAATCGAGTTTCTGTCATGAGACTAGCAAGAGGAAAATCTTGAATCTCGTCTAGAAAAAAACTAATTTCATTCCAAAAGCAGAAACCTTGACAAGAATGAAAAACTTTCTCGAGTCAGGCAGAAAATGAAAACGCGAAACATAAAAATACAAGAAAATGGTTGGAGTTCTGTTTACCTGGGTTCCCGGTCGAACCGAGAACGATAGCGTTTCGAGTCAAAATTTCGATCTTCTCGACGCGACATTAGGGTTAATGTAGAGCAGAAAGGGTAAAATACTGACTCAGCTGTCTATAGAAGTCAGGAGTGCGTCAAGTAAAAAGAGGAGGAAGAGATGTAATATTCATTGCTAAGTTACCAAAGTGTCCTCTCGTGGGGTCTTGGTCCTTTTATTATCTGATTTACAAGTTAGTCCCTTACAAGTGCGACGAGCGGCTTGTCGATTATGCTCGTGGCACAAACAAGTCTAGCTGAAATTTCAACGCGAGTCACTCGTGGGCTCCCACTTGCTTGTTCATCGACTTATTTGCTGGAAAAAAAAAAAAGCACTTGCGAGTTTCTGAAAATACATTTCTTTTCATCTTCGCAGAAAACAAAAGATTTTGGTTGGTTCAAACAATTAATTTTTTTTCACTTGTATTCATTTCTATTAGTTGAAAAATGGATTTCGTTAAATGTGCGTCCTAGACAATTTTTACGAGGAAAAATGATATTCATCCCCACTGGGGATTCATCTCCAATCTATGTGTATGTAAATGATTAGTTAAATGATAAGTGAAATTAAATGACTTATTTAATTTCACATATCATTTAATGTCACATAAACGTCACATAGACTGAGGATACATCTTCAGTGGGGATGAATAGCATTTCTCTTTTACGAGTTTTCTATTTTTGATAAATTTTTAGCCTCGAAACATCACCCGAATCTCAATTGTTAAGCTCGACATGCACTATAAATCTTGCTATCCATTTCCCTATTAATCTCTTAAAATTCTACCAATTCAGTCCAAGATTTCCTTTAATGGTGTAGAATGCGGGTTTGTTGAGCCTGATTTTGCCTGCATAAGAAAAATACTATTGATTTAGTTTGTTTTCTTCTGAACTTAATCATGCCTTCTACCAAAAAGGCATATTGAGTCCAGGGACAGATCCATGATCGAATTACAGACCGAATTAATACGTAAAAAAAAAAAATTACACATATATTCTTTTTTTACATAATTTTTTCTTGTAACTAAAAAAAATTTAGTTGGGGGAGGCTGAGGGGGCTACAACCCCCCCCCCCCCACCCGTCCTTGATTGAGATCCTGTTTGACACACATTCTCTTAAAATACATTATTTCAAAACTCATTTTCAACCACACATTTTTCAATAAAATAATATTTTTTATTACATTAATAAATTTTTTTTATTTGTTTACCATGTATTTCCCATCATATCACTATTTAAAATACGTTCTTTTCTCAATAACATCCATCAAACACCCATTGAATATCTTTACCAATCATATTTTAAAATTTAAAATCTAATATTGAGGATAATCTTATTTTATTCTACGTGTTCATTGACTATAAAAACATGGTCAGAATAAATCATATGTAAATCATCAAGTTCTCTGAATATTTAATTATTTCTTGAAGTTTTTATTGGACTTGAGTAATGTTATTTGAACAAGATTTGAGGGTGTAGGGGTGTAGCTAAGATTGGGGTGGTGTAGGGGTGGTGGAGCATGAAATTTAGGGAAAAGCCATTTGTACTCGGGCATTTACACGCCCAGGTACACGGGCCCGCTGCCCCCTCACAATGAGGGGGGCCCCGAGGTGAATTAAATAATGGCGGGCCCTCCTCACTGTGAGAGGGGGGCGTGGGGTCAGGTACACGGGCGTGTAAATGCCCGTCCCTGTACACCCTGTAGCAAGGTTCCATGAAAAATGGGATAGGCAGAGGTGGAGGAAAATGAAGCGAAACGGTGGCTGATGGTGTTATATTCGCAGCTCTGGCAACAGTTATTACAGTGTCCCTGACTATAGGTGGGTAGGTGATCACCTAAAGACCCTGCCTTGGTGAGGGCCCCAAAAAATTGTTATATTATTGTACTCGGATGGTAACTCAACAATGCCACGATATAATAATGGTTCTAATATGAAATGAAAAGCATAAAGATTTAAATAAAAAAGTACTAGAAGTAAATTAAAGGGCATTTGATACATCATGTGGTGTGCGTGTATATATATATATATATATATATATATTTTGTGCGCGCGCGATATGCTAAAAGTTTATCTTCTAACGTTATAAATTTTAAGTTTTTGTTTTACATGTTTATTTGGCACAATATATTGTTTGCTATAATAAAGTAAACAAAATATTTCAACGAAATGACATGTCTATCGATACTGTTATTAGTCACTTGAATACACGTATTTTATTTTTGAAATATATAAAGAAACTTCATTTGAATTTAACTGTTGTATACTCAACTTCTTTCTTGACATTAAGCCATTGTTTGATTTAGCTAAAAAAAATAAAATTTAAATTTAAATCAAAATTAACAATTAATTTTAACCACTCATTTAATATGATATACAACTTTTAAACAACATATTCTATCAACTTTTATCAAAATTTATTAAAATCTGATTTTCATTTAAACCAAATAGAGAAATACTATTCATCCACACTGAGGATGTATCTACAGTCTATGTGGCGTTAATGTGGCATTATTTAATTTCACCTATCATTTAACCAATCATTTACATCTACGACTGGGGATGCATTCCCACTGAGGATGAATAGCATTTTTCAACTAAATATGGGCTAAATTTCCTTAGTTATTCAATACAAACAACGGGGTTGTTGTACATTCCCATTTATATATTTACGAATTATGAGTAGCGTTATCTAGCAACGAAGTGACATTAATAAATGACGATATTATTAGCAACCCGTTTTGGCCGGATTAAAATTTGATTTTAATCTAAGTCAAAGTCAAACAATCAATATCAATCACGTCTTTCATGAGTCCTACATCTTTTCAACTACACATTTCAAAATTTTTTATCACAATCCACTAAAAATCTAATTTTAATCCCCACCAAATACCCTAACTTGTGTTTGGTGTATTTATAAATCAGATTTTTAGTAGATTTTGATAAAATATATGATCGAAAAGTTGATAAAAATTGTGACTCCAATGAATTTATGCTTATAATTAATTAGATTTTGACTTACATTTTAATAAGCCAGCTAAACGTGATTCTCATCTTTTTATTTCCATAAAACTTTGTTTTGGCATTTTGTCCAACAAATTAAAGAGGCCACCGCCAATCCGCCATCCACACCAACTTCTGACAGCACAGAAGTTCTTCTGCTAGAGTTTCTTCTCAATTCTAGAGAAAGAGAAAGGAAAATTTTCTGGCAAAATGTTTGATGTTATAGTGATTGGAGCAGGGGTTATTGGAAGTTCCGCCGCTTATCAAATCGCGAAACGAGGCTTTAAAACCATTCTCCTCGAGCAGTTTGACTTCTTGCACCACTGTGGCTCATCCCACGGTGAGTCAAGAACAATCCGTGCAACCTATCCCGAAGACTACTATTCGAACATGGTTCTTGAATCCTCCCGTCTTTGGGAAGAAGCAGAAGCTGAAATCGGATACAAGGTCTACTTCAAGACGATTCAATTCGATATGGGGCCATCAGATGACAAATCTCTACAAGCTGTCATTAGCAGTTGCAAGAAAAACTCGATTCTGGTTAGGGTTCTTGATCATTCTCAGGTTTATGAGGAATTTGACGGCGTTTTCAAGTTGCCTGAGGATTGGATTGGTGTTGTAACAGAGCACGGGGGAGTACTTAAGCCGACAAAAGCTGTGTCCATGTTTCAAACACTTGCACTCAAGAATGGTGCAATGCTTAGGGACAACATGGAAGTGATAGAAATTAAGAAAGATGAAGTACAAGGAGGGGTTTTGGTGCGTACAAGGAATGGCGAGGAATTTTATGGTAAGAAATGTGTTGTGACAGTTGGGGCATGGATGAAAAATTTGGTCCATGAAGTTACAGGCCTAATGCTGCCCATACAGCCGTTGGAAACTACTGTATATTATTGGAAGATCAAACAAGGGTTTGAGGACAAATTCACAATCCAAAATGGTGGTTTTCCTACATTTGCAAGCTATGGCGAGCCTTATATATATGGCACGCCATCGTTGGAGTTCCCTGGATTGATCAAAATTGCGGTGCACGGAGGGTGGCCCTGCGAGCCTAACGAACGGACATGGGTGGCGGCCAGCCCTACGGCGGTGGATTCTTTGAAGAAATGGATTGAAGCAAGATTTCAAGGACTTGTTGATCCAAGTGGACCTGTTATGTCTCAATCTTGCATGTACTCGATGACCCCGGACGAGGATTTCGTTATAGATTTTTTGGGCGGCGATTTTGGGAAGGAAGTGGTGGTCGCGGGTGGATTTTCAGGGCATGGGTTCAAGATGGCACCTTTGGTCGGGCGGATACTGGCGGAGCTGTTGGCGGATGGGGTGGCACAGGGTGTTGACTTGAAGTACTTCGGTATAGGAAGATTCGATGGTAATCCACGGGGAAATGTGAAAGGTTTTGATTGTCAAGTCACATTAGCTGATTCTCGATGTGACTAATGTTCATGTCATAAATTTGGGAAGTTTTCTATCCATTGGAATCTTATCTTGTAATTGTGATCAATGTGCTAATGAAATCGCTTTGTTTCGACTCTTTAACAAGTGGGGAAGCAATTAAAGTACAAAAAAGAAAGAACATGGAAATTTCTTGGTGAGTTAAACTTGCTATTTGTTTTTTAACATTTTAAGCAAAGCCATATCAGTTAGAAAAGTTTATACTAATAGTATTATTTGGAGTCGAGAGATAAAAAAGTTTTGCTTGACCATGCCCTCAATTGTGCGTCTAAAATATTAGTCAGATTCTTGTGCTTGCTTGCCTTATCTGCGTCGATCCAATTTGCTTACTTGATAGAAAGAAAATATTTCGAGAAATTTAAAAAGACGAGTTCATATATGTTGTTCGCTAGTGAGCTTGTTCTTCACTAGAAGATTTTTTTACTGTAGACTAATTGCATGGTTACCTTCATCACAGTCGTCAAATACTTCAATAGTGTGACAAAGGTCCAGCAAAATATTTGATGTTTTAAGGAAGAAAGGGAGATTAATCTTAACTTTCTCATAGTATCTACTCTCGACCATTATGGAAGTCGGTTTTATTTTCATCTGTTCAATTTTATTAAAGCAACAAACTAGAATTGTTACAATTTTCGCAGTTTTGTCAGTGGGGCTGGCCTTTTTGACAACTCTAGACGGTCGTCCCCCCTTTGTTACTTTTTTTTTTTTTTAAAGTTTGGGGGCCTTTTTCTAACCCTACTTTTCCTCATTATCATTTCAAGAATTGGGCTTTAAGCCCTTCTCCAGCTCAACATGGGGCAGACACTCAATACTTTCCAACTCAACTTGTTATTTTTTCATGCGGGCCCTTAATATCTATAAGAATTAGAATAAAAAAATATACTGCTAGTTTCGTCAGCAGTGATGCCATTAATTTCATCTTATTACTTGTCTTCTTGTAACCTGATCTATTTGATTAGGTAATATAATTCCTGTCCTAATTTGTGAATAAGACATTGACAGCTCGTTTACTAAGGAACAATGTCTAGTACTGGACATTACTAAAGAAGAAAAATACGTTGACTTGAGTCTAATCCAATACTATGTAACAGCTTTTCTTTGAGGTAGACGAATGAAAAATATAAGGCATAAACATAACTGATGAATACAGAAAGAAAATGACATACAGAAGACATCAGAATACTACTGTGCATCAATTTTTGTATAAATAAGTACATCAGTGAGAAACAAATACAGTAGAAGAACTGGAGAAACAACTTGGGATAGTTTATAGGCCAGAGATGGAGAAAGGAAAAAGAGATTATTATGCACACTGTCTGATCTTACCATATCCAATCCAAGGTCACATAAATCCTATGCTCCAATTTGCGAAGCGTTTGAGGCACAGACGAATTAAAATCACGCTTGCAGTAACGAAGTTTTTGTTCGGCACAATGCAAGAATTCCCAGATTTTGTTTCCATAGAAACAATCTCCGATGGATTTGACGAGGGAGGGAGGGCTCAAGCAGGGAGCTTTGAAGAATACTTCGAAACATTCAGTCGAGTTGGCGCAGAAACTTTGATGGAACTTCTTGAAAAGCTTAAAAACTTGGATTGTGCTGTTGATTGCATAATTTTTGATCCATTTCTTTCATGGGGTTTTGATGTTGCAAAGAAATCCGGGCTTTTAGGCGCGTTGTTTTTCACTCAATCATGTGCTGTCGACAATATTTACTACCATGTATACAAGGGGGAACTTAAACTTCCTCTTTCGGATGATGAAATTATCATTCCTGGATTGCCTCCACTAGAGCCTAAAGACACTCCTTCTGTCATTTACATTCCTGGATCACACCCCACAGCTCTTAAAATGCTCGTGAATCAGGTTGAGCACCTCGGGGAAGCAGACTGGACGTTTGTCAACTCATTTTACGAGTTGGAACAAGAGGTATGTAACTAGATTCTTAATTCCACTAATAGTCTGAACATATGGTTAACTGTTACAATGGCAGGTAATCGACTCAATGGCAAAGTTTTCATTGCTAAAGACAATTGGACCAACAATACCATCAATGTATATAGACAAGCAACTACAAGATGATAAAGAATATGGTCTCAGTATCTTCAAGCCGAACACTGATGCTTGCAAGAAATGGCTTGAAGAACGAGAACCTTGTTCGGTCATTTACGTATCATTCGGAAGCTTGTACGAGGTAGGACCCGAGCAAATGGAAGAATTGGCAAAGGGCTTAAAAGCTAGCAATAAGTATTTCCTTTGGGTTGTTAGAGCATCAGAAGAATCGAAACTTCCCAAAAATTATGCAGAAGAATCGTCGGAAAAGGGACTAATAGTTTCATGGTGTCCTCAATTAGAGGTTTTGGCACATGATGCATTAGGTTGTTTCATCACACATTGTGGTTGGAATTCAACTTTGGAGGCCTTGAGTTTGGGAGTACCTATGGTAGCAATGCCATGTTGGACTGATCAAAGCACAAATGCTAAATTTGTGAATGACGTATGGAAAACTGGGATCAGGACTCGGCCTGATGAGAAAGGAATAGTTCGAGATACAGAGATTGTCCGTTGCTTGGACCTCGTGATGGACAAGGAGGAAGGTAAAGAAATTCGAACGAATGCAATCAAATGGAAGAAAATGGCACGAGAAGCAGTTGATAAAGGGGGGAGCTCGGATACAAACATTGACGAATTTGCTTCTGCATTGATGAATCCTTCCATCTGATTAATTTGATTTACAGTAATCACAGAATTGTATTTCAACCGTGTTCAGTCGGTCTGCTAAAGCATGCCCATGCCCACCCCCATCATCCCGAAGAATAAATAACATTGTCCTATCTTATCTTATATAAATTGTTAGACAGACGAGGAGGTTCAACATGATACCAAAACAAGCAAATGTCATGTACTAAAATCTTGTCTCCATCAATTTATGGAAGCATGTGCACGTTTTAGGCTTTGAACATAAAGAGATATTATAGATGAGATTATGTGATTGAAAGCAGACAAGTCAATATAACAATGAAAGAGATGAAATACTGCTGAATAATCCTTCGTTGCACAAACTCACAAAGTACGTCCGCCAAAAACATCCTTTTAATATTGTAATGTCAAGATGAACAAATAGGAATATGAAGCACAAAACGCCAGCTTTTGCACATTGATTAATTCAAAGAAAACTAGAGTTTGAATACATACAAGAAGAAAACTGCATATAGTTTTTGTCCTACTTGTTTGTAATATAGCACAATGGACACCACATTACAGCTGCAAGGCACGCCATCCTCCCAGCTTTTTGTCATTTGGGGGCGGGGGTTGTCATAATCCATCCATGGAGAGATATGACATCAACCCAGGCGCTGTTGACCACTAACCTTTTGCTTGTCCTCTGTATTTGTTGGGGAAATGTACAGAGTTCAAACAACAATAGTCACAGCAGAAGCAACAGTTATCAAAACAAACCTAACTCAACATAATCGATAGAAAGCATATCAAGGCATGAAGAAAAACATAGAAACTGAAGCTGTAAATAGAAGAACTCTACTTCCTTGTTTGGCCGAGAATCGGGCTCAGGAACAGCCCTTCTAATCATCGCACATTGCCGTCCAGAAAGAGAGGGATTACAGAGAACACTCAAGGGGAAACTCTGTATTGGTCATCGATCAAAAGGATCTCCCAATGGCCACTGTTCTTCCTCACAGTTAGAGTAAAACCAAGACTAAAACCAGTCACTATTGCAGACCTGATTACCCACTTGTTTACCCTCTAAATGCTAGAACAATCACAGAGAAATCACCCAAGAGAAGAGGGAACAGACTTACACACAGAGAAACCCAGACGAACGAGAGAAATGGAAGAAGGTTCGAGAATGGGAGGAGTCGAGTGAAATAAGAGAGGTGAGGGAAAATATCTCCCACGAATTAATCTCAACCATCCAACACATCCAACGGTCACATTAAACCCAAAGTAGCACAATCAATGTGAGCCAACAGCTACCTATAGGCAAGTGACACCTAAGCAGCTAGGCCAAAATAATGCAAACAATACAAATGACACAAATAGCACTAGTCCAACAGTGTTATGGGAAACACGATTCTCACATTCTTCACCTTAGTTCTCATAACACACTCTCTCATTCAGTTGCGGATTTGCACATGGAAGGCTGTTCATCATCATCGTCCATTACCTGCAAGAAAAATTAACTCGTGTCAATATGCAACAAAGATAAGTATA